GTGGGCTCGCGCATTGTCTTGATGAAACATCACCCCTTTTCGATTCACTAGAGCAGGTCTTTTTTTCCTCAAAGCTTGATTCAAACGCTCTAATTTCAGACAGTATATTTAAGCATTAATTGTTGCATTAGGTGGTAAGAATTCAAAGTGGATTAGTCCTTGGCGATCCCACCAGATTGAAAGAATAACCTTTTGCACATGAAGTTCCCTTCTCGGCTGTGGCTGGGGTCATTCTCCTTTACCAAGCCACTGTCTACGACGCTTAACATTTCGATAAAAGATCCATTTTTCGTCGCCAGTCACAAGTCTATCCAAAAAAGGTGAAACAAATTGGCGGGAATGGGGAGAAGAGAAGATGTCAACTCGGGATTTGAGGTTGTTTTCACACAATTCACGAGGCACCCATTTTCCAAATTTAGAAACTTTTCCAAGTTGTTGAAGATGACGATGAACAGTTGTATGGTTTGAACTGAGAACCACTGCCAATTCCTCAACTGATAAAGCAGGATTTTCTTCAAGGGCTGCTTCAAGAAGCTTTTCATCAAACTCAACTCGACGTCCGGTTCGATCTTCATCTTCAAGGGTGAAATCTCCACCTCTGAATTTTGCAAACCATCTTCTGCAAGTTCTTTCATTCACCCATTCCTCTCCATAAACTGAGTGAATGTTTCTAGCCGCTTCGGCTGCTGAGTTTCCTTTCTTGAACTCATAAAGCATTATGTGCCTCAAATGATTCTTGGGTACTTCCATGTTAGCAGGGTTTTAATCAAACAAAATTTAATTTTATTGTTCTCTGAAATAAAATTTGATCAGTTTAAATGCATCTAAATATAAAAATAATGTTCAGCTCCATTAGACATTATAAAATACTCTTTAAATTTCGTTCATTTTAACAAAAAGTTAAAATTCGGACAGAACTTATGGGATGACCTGATATGTATGTGTGTGTGTGTGTGTGTGTGTGTGTGTGTGTGTGTGTGTGTGTGCTTGATGGATATTTATGAGCGTTCTTAAATTTTAAAATTCAGAAAATCTAACGACATTTTTATTTCTGTTTATAAATAGTTGTTGCAAAATAAAATCCTTATACTTGCCATGATAAAGTCCATCGGAAGACGAAACGCGTCAACTAAGATAAGTTTTCCTTTTCTATTTATAACTTTAAAATATATATATATATATATATATATATATATATATATATATATATATATATTGTGAATTTAGACAGCAATCCTTCATTTATGCATATTTCACTAAAAAACGACAAACAAGGTACTAACATTATGCATTTTATTTATTTTTTTCTTGTGTTCGAACAGGTGTTTTTTTTTTGAACACTTATGTAGAATCTGTTCAAATGTTCTAGAATTCCAAGCGTTGAAATATATATATATATATATATATATATATATATATATATATATATATATATATATATATATATATATATTTCTGTGTTTGTATATAACCTTTTATGAAGTCGTCAAAAAACAAATGTTAGCGATTTACGACAGTTTTTATATACACAAAACCCTTTCAGAAAAAAATAAAATAAAAAAATAAATAAATCTCCATAGACACTTAACCAGACTAGGCGATGTCATCTTCCGCTTTAAATTTAGACACCCCAACCTTACCCTGACTTGACATCTGTGAATGTAACTGAGATATTGATACAAATTATTAACACCTTACGCCCCTTTTCTTTAAACAATTGCTCTAGCCGTTACCATAGAAATTTTGATTCCAATAATGAATATGCTTATAAAACGCGTAAATTTCAGAAATAAGTTATTCCCCCAAAATTTTCGCTTGAAGATGGAACAGAGCTTAGTAATTTGATTCAATTTAATTGAAATAATTATATTGAAGTTTTCGTCTCTTGTTTTGAAACATGAGGACTCTTATGTAGCGTGTTGGAATCATATTTTAAATAAATAATATATATATATATATATATATATATATATATATATATATATATATATATATATATATATATATTTGCATTTATTTAAACGAAACAAAAAAACATCATATTCATAACCCGTCTCACTGTATATGAATCTTAATAATGAGATAACATATTTTTAATGAACAAAAATTGTAAAAACAAAAACTCTATTTAATTTGAAATTTCTGGGAAGCATAATGAGGAAAGAAGATTTGGAGATTCTAAAACTCACAGGTCATATTGACAGAAACAGGGACAGAGGGAAACTGAATAATCAAGCAAAGGAACTTGCATAAATGATGGCAGAATAGGGAGTAAGATAGATAGTAAAAAGAGAAACATTACGAAATGCTACAAAGAAAAGGATGTCATGGAGAGCCATGATCACCCACGCTCTGATGGCACAAGGAACATAAAAGAAGTTTCACCTTACTATAAGAAATTCTATGGAACTATTTTTCAGAATTAAGGAATCTTGCTTTACTTCAGCAATACAAATGTTAACCTCTTCGACGAGTACTATAGGTTATATATATATATATATATATATATATATATATATATATATATATATATATATGTGTGTGTGTGTGTGTGTGTGTGTGATTCACGAAATATTAACAGAGATAAGCTTTTTACAATGTCAATAGTGATTTATCATATTTACCAAGCAATCTCTGGAGATGAACAAATTTCTCCAAGGTTCTGCGAGAGTCTAAAGCTTTTAGAAGATTTTTTCCCCGTTCTCAACTCTGTTTGGAACTGGTGCTTCAATAAATCACACTGACAGAACTACCGCAACCAAATGTCACGAAAATAGCATAGGGATCTGCGCAAAGTTGTCGAATCGCTGATAACTCAACAGTCAACACCTGAGGAACAATGAACTAGTCTCCATAGATATGAACAAATAAGAATGCCCAGTGCGCATATGTGTCGGATAAAATGTAATCATTTGACAGGAATCGAACCTGTGTCCTACAGATAACCGTCATTTGATCATTACACTTCGAGCAGATATGATCGTTCGAGAATGACCCTGGGAAATTTGTTTGCTTGAAAACAGTAATTTGTCTTTGCTAGCCGGACGCTTCCTCTGTAACTAAATGGTATAGCACCTCAGGCCAAATGACGGTTCCGTGTAGGATATAGGTTCGATTCCTGTCGGAAAACACATATTTTCTACGAAATTTCTCGGACATTCAGGCCGGTAAATCTAATTAATACTGTTTATTATAAACAGAGCATTTACTTAAATAAGTGTATCTATAAAAATAACATATAAAGAGAAAAAAATATATATATATGTAACTGAGAAATTGATACAAAATATTAACACCTTACGCCCCTTTTTTTAAATAATTTCTCTAGCCGTTACCATAGTTTTTTTAATTTTAATAATGAATATGATTATAATACGCGTAAATTTCAGAAATTAGTTATTCAAAAAAAAATTTCGCTTGAAGATGGAACAGAGCTTGGTACTTTAATTCAATTTAATTCAAATAATTATATTGAAGTTTTCGGCTCTTGTTTTGAAACATGAGAACTCTTATGTAGCGATGGAATCATATTTTAAATAAATAATTATATTTAGGCTCTACTTTTGCATCGAGCACTGTTTTTTAAAAATAATAACAAAAATACTAAAGAACTTTGGATTATTTACCTTACGAGTTCTTTCTGATTTTCTATATATTTTCACACACACACACACACACACACACACACACACACACACACACACACACACATATATATATATATATATATATATATATATATATATATATATATATTGAACCTGCTTCCCCACTTTTATGAGAAAAAAACTGATCTGGTGTGCTTTAGAATGTGCCGAAAAATTTTCCGCACGACTCACTTGAAAATATTTCAGTAAAGATAATAAATTTTAACCTCTTCTTGATCGGACTGAGATAGCAATAAACTTCGTGTATTATCATAGCTTATTTGAAGGCTTTCGAGTAGTTTTACAACAGTGATTCATCTGTTATTTATAAGGAGAGCACCAGCCTCTTCGGTCTTGTCCTAATTCGCATCAGAATCTGGCTGGCCACTGTAAAGCCAGTCACGTAGGTTTATATTTTTTCTCTAACATTGCCATTAGCTCTCTTGGCCCATCTTCTTACATCAATTGAAGCTTTCAATCGACATTCAGCAACCTCCTGTAAATATATGAAGCACTTCCTCCTTTCAGAAACACATTCTATGACAGCTTTTGGATTTCTATTTGTGTCTAGAGCGGCAGTCAGTTTGAAAGAAGATTATGGTAAGATAACACCACAAATTCTTTCCTTGGGCTTCAAGATTCTTTTAAAAGAATCCTAATACTTTAAAAATTAAATAGGAACAGCTAGAGGACTGAAAATGTTGCATTGTAATCTAAAGACGCATTGGAATACTGAAAGATAGCTTCGAAATACTTTAAGCAATGTATTAAGAAAGAGGAAAGTATCAGTAGAGACAAAGAAAAGTGCACTGAACTGTTATGTAATATCGCTCCTTCTGTAGGAGGATAGATATTACATAATGGCAGGGAGGGTTTAACAACTTCATCACTGACGAGGAAGAAATTTGGGGAAATAGAAATGTGGTTCTACAGAAGGATGTTGAGAATAACATGAACTGAACGTGTGAGTAACGACGAAGTTTTAAGAAAAATAGAAACAAAAAGGATACTTGCTTAGAATAAGAGACCGCTGAAATTTCTAGGGTACATAATGAGGAAAGGGGACTCGGAGAAGTTAACCCTCACATAACACATTGAAGACAAGAGGAACGTAGCGAATGACCTACCTAACGAGCTTGTGTTGTCAGAACAGGGATTAGCAAAGAAAGAAAAGGACAATGTGCTCAAAAGAACAGGAAGCTTGGGAGAACCATGATCACCCAAGTACTGAAGGGAAATCGTACAAAGAGGAAGAAGAAGAAGAAGAAGAAAGAAGAAGAAGAAGACTACAAATTGTTTTCTTGGGATCCAAAAATATTTTAAAAGTATTCTAATACTTTTAAAATTACGCGCTTACGACCATATCACGTTGAAACACCGTTTCTAATTCAAACACGGAAGTTAAGCAACGTCGAGCTTGGTTAGTACTAGATGGGTGACAGGTTGGGAATACCAAGTGCTATAAGCTGTTTGGTTGATGTAATAGATAAAGTCTGGCAACTGAAAATTGGCGAGAAGAATTCTAGTTCCAGTCCGGTTCGTTATATTGATTTATGCGAAAATACTCTTGGGGAAGGCATGAATCTACATCTTCTCCACCCAGCTATGGGATGATTAGTATAAATCATTATTATCTCCTAAAAATTCTAAAAATCCCTAAATGTTTCCTGGCATTACATAACCTGCAAAAGGTTGATAAGCCGTAAAAAAGAAATTAATTAATCTTTAAATTAGAACAGGTATTGCATTCTGAACAGACCTTGTGTATATCGTAAACGCTTTATGCTCTGAAAATTTTAAATGATAGATGGATAGCTAGATAGATCTGAAAACGACATAGATAGATAGATGTGCTCAAACAGATAGATAGATCTGAAAACAGCGTGATAGATAGATAGATAGATAGATAGATAGATGTGCTCAAACAGATAGATCTGAAAACAGCGTGATAGATAGATAGATAGATAGATAGATAGATAGATGTGCTCAAACAGATAGATCTGAAAACAGCGTGATAGATAGATAGATAGATAGATAGATAGATAGATAGATAGATAGATAGATAGATGTGCTCAAACAGATAGATCTGAAAACAGCGTGATAGATAGATAGATAGATAGATAGATAGATAGATAGATAGATAGATGTCCTCACACAGATAGATAGATCTGCAAACAGCGTGATAGATAGATAGATAGATAGATAGATAGATAGATAGATAGATAGATGTGCTCACACACATAGATAGATCTGCAAACAGCGTGATAGATAGATAGATAGATAGATAGATAGATAGATAGATAGATATGAATAGACTGAGACAGATATTTGGAGCATTTGAAATAACGTGTGTCTTGTGAAATTTCAATGTCAATTAAAACTCTCAAAATTGAAAATCTGAATTTATTTGAATATATTGACCTTTTTTCCATTTTTAAAGTCATTTTTTTCATACGCTTTCGGATATTAAAAGTAAAAGATCACAGGATGCCATACACACATCCATTTAGAAAGTTGCATGAGGTGATATATAGCGGGAGACAAAAAAATAGGTGTGACGAATGAACGGGGAGATTAGATCGAAAGTCACTTGAAACTAAGTACGAAAAGGCGTAAAACTATCTATATTATACTTTCTGCTCGCCCTATCGCAGTGGTAAATTGGAGAGCCGAGTTCGAATTCCAGTCGATTTCGTTACATTCACTTACCCGCAGATGTCCTTAAAAATGGTATGAAGCCATCTACCCCATATATATATATATATATATATATATATATATATATATATATATATATATATATATATATATATATATATATATATATAATAGTTAATCGTGCGTCTGGTATCTGTAAAAAAGATATATAGGATAGATAACAGTTGACTCTAAAGTTGAATAAGTTAAGATTGTAATGATTAGCAAAGAAAGAAAAGGACAAACTTTACTAAGAGCTCAAAAGAACAGGAAGCTTGGGAGAACCATGATCACCCAAGAGAGAAACATCCTCTCGGGAATCTCACACATCATTATTATTGAATGGTAATATAGGGTGTTCCAATAACTTGGACCGATTTTAAATGTGAATTACGTTTAAGAACCTAATGATTTTTTCTTTTTCTTTCAGATTTAACAACTTAAGTCTTTGGCAATTTCAATCATGGAAAGATTAACAATCAAACAACATGTTAAAGTTATCGAAGCCTATTACGAAGATGGATGTTCAAATTTATAAATATATGGCCGCTAGCAAAAAATGCACACCAGTAACCTTTTGTGGATGAAGTTGCTTTTCAACGTATTTGCTTTGTTCGTATTTTCATCAGCCCAAATGCGACAATTCTGCTTATTAACGAATCCACCAAGATGAAAATGGGCTTCGTCACTAAAGAGGATTTTTTTACGAAAAATCTTTATCGGCTTGTCTTTGCTCATACACCCAATTCGCGAATGTACGTCGTTCTATATAGTCAGCAGCTTTCAGTTCTTGTGTCAGTTGAATTTTGTAATTGCGTAGAGACAAATCTTTTGTCAAAATTCAATGTAACTTTGTTATGGAGAGGTTCAATTCCTGCACACGATGACAAATAGAAGTGTCTGGATTTTCGGCCACCTTCTCGTGCACTGTAGCAATGTTTTCAGTTGAACGGCGTAAACGAGCACGCAATGGTGTTTTCATATCTGCCACCGACCCAGAATTTATGAACAATTTTTCCAATTGCACTGTCGGTTGGTCGATTATGTCGCCAAAAAATCGCGAAGTGCGAGAAATGTATTTCTGTTTGAACGTCCATCTTCGTAATAGGCTTCGATAACTTTAACACGTTGTGTGATTGTTAATCTTTCCATGGTTAAAATTGCTAAAGACCTAAGTTGCTAAATCTGAAAGAAAAAGAAAAAAATCATTAGATGCTTAAACTTAATTCACATTTAAAATCGGTTCAAGTTATTGGAACACTCTATATAATAGTTAAATTGTATCTGTAAAAAGTTATTGTTATTCTTAAAAAAATTCTTTATGCAATATTCACTTGCAAAATAAGAATTATTCTTACAATCCACCAAAAAGTATTTTTCAGCTTGAAATGACCCATAAAAGGTTGATAATCAATACATCCTGGGTATGACGATAAACTGCACCCAGCAGCAAGGCCTCCGATCGAGAAGTTTGAGGAGTATAGTACTACCTCTTAAATGCTGTTGTTCCCAGGTCCACCCTTACCTGGGGTGGTAGCACCTTTAGTGTCCCAGCTGTGGGAAAATAGTTAACCCCCAAACTGGGGTCAAAACACTATCGAAGTATAAAAATACCAGCAATACATTTTTTCTAAAAGAAATTATCAATGTTATCAAGAAAATTTATTTTCGGTATTAAATAACTTATAAGCAGTTGATAAAAACAAAAAAAAAAAAACAAACAAAAAAGATAATCTATAAAAACATATCCGTGTCGCACACAAAAACTATCGATTATATATATATACTAGCAGTAGAGCCCGGCGTTGCCCGGGGATGTAACAGTAAGAGATAGATCAAGTATCGACCATCATAAAGACTGAAAAATAAAAATTGACAAAGATTATTGTTTAAGGTTGACGGACACGCATGTCTTAATTAGTTTTTTTTGTTTTTTGTTTTTTTTTTACGAATTGGTCAAACCCAAATTCAAACAAAAACATTGTTTTCAATCGTTATGAGTCTACTGATTGAATAGAATTTTATTATAAACAATTGTCTTGTAAATGGAATTTTTAAGGCATTCTGAATGTAAAAATAAAGAAAAAAGTGTACAAGACAATAAGAAACACTACCTGCCAAAAAAAAGTGAAGTTTTGTTGAAATCGGTTGAGAAATGTAGGAAATCCGATCCCATATATAAACGAACACACACACGCATGCACACAAACAACCTGGGTTTTTATCAGTATAACTCGATATGAGTTGTCCCCCTTTCATTCTGGCGACAGAATCGTGTTTCCAAATTGATTTCGTGCAAAAACAATTATGTTTTTCCAATTTTTGGCGCTGTCAGAACCACTGCAAGGTAATTTTACGTAGTCCTGTGAAGTTTTGTTGAAACCGGTTGAAAAATGTAGAAAATCCGATCCAATATATAAACGTACAGACACACACACAAACACAATCTGCGTTTTATAATAAGTAAGATATATATATATATAAAAACATGAAAAAAATGAGCGCTCGAAAATAACATTTTAACTGGTGCGGAAAGCATCGTTTTAATGTTTTGAAGTGTTTATATTTACATAATGTATTTAATATTAAAAATATATGTAAAATTAGTTTACATTAAATGGAAAGTATATGTGACTCCAAGTAATATTGTTTTCATATCGTATTATTTGTGTTGTATCCTATTCCGTCCGTTCAATATGAAATTAATATCAGTACAATAAAATATTTGAAACTCGGAACAATTTTCCTACTTAATATATTTCTTAATTTTCTCAGTATTTTTTCCTTGAAAATTCACCACAAAAAGAAAATTTTCTTGTAACCTGCTAATTGTTGTATATATATACAGTGTAAGAGAGTTGTCGGGACCGGAGAAGAAGTCTCATATCCGGGTTTCTCTTATATCCGGGTTTGATCTATTTTATATACATTAACACAGGCTCTAATTTGGGACCAGAGAAAATTTCTCTTATATCCGGGTCTCTTATATCCGGGTTACACTGTATATATATATTTGCGTTATTTGTAAACAAAACAAAAAACTTCCATATTTATAACCAGTCCCACTGTATGTGAACCTTAATAACGAGATAACATATTCTTAATGAACAAAAATTGTAAAAACAAAAACTCTGTTTAATTTGAAAATTCTGGGAAACATAATGAGGAAAGAAGATTTGGATATATATATATATATATATATATATATATATATATATATATATATATATATATATTTGGATATATGTATATATATTTGCATAAATTAAATCCGTTCTTTTATAACCGGGCTTGTTTGACAAACAATGCCTCCTCTCTCTCTCTCTCTCTCTCTCTCTCTCTCTCTCTCTCTCTCTCTCACACACACACACACACACACACACACACACACACACAAACCACAGCATAAAATAATCTCGGCGTCCCGGTCGAAGAGTTACCTACAGACCTCCATCGAAAGTCACTATTTTCTAATTTTTTGCAACTTACGAGAGTGAGCTGGATACTTCTTAGATTGACTATGAAGAAGTGATGCTAGAGCTGTGAAACCTTGCATGCATTAATTTCACCTCTTCTTATTAATAACTGCATTGTTTCTTTCCAGGCAAACTGGTATCTGACTGTTCGAAGATGACTGTTTATCGTCTGGGTCAAAAAAGTCAACAACAGCAGATATGACATGATCGCTGCGATCCTGGTTCCCCAAAAAATGTTGTTTGATTTTCATGCTGAGAAACAGCTAATCGTCAAATCAGGAGAATAGAGATGGTGATTAATCATTTCAAAGCCCCAATCACGTACAGCCGCCATTAAAACCAAGGACTTGTGTGCTGGAGCATTGTCCTAATGAAACAAGACCCCTTTCATCAGGTTTTCTGGGAGTTTTTTGTTGATTCTTCTTCATGTGCTTATGACATGTAAAAACCATTTTGTTTATTGACTATCTTGAAAAGGGCCACACCATCAGTGGAGAGTAATATGCCAGTTTGTTGATACAGTTATGGAAGCCTATCAAGACTATTTCTGGGATGAGGAGTTATCATTATTTGCCATATTTATACATGGACTACTATCCTAAACTTTATTGTTATCACAACGTTAACCTTTGTGCCCACCCAACAGCCTTTATGTATGTAGATCCGCGTAACCTAAAGGGACTTTTGAACTGAGCCAATTATTTAATCTAATGGGGTAGATTGTTCTCGTCTCACTGTCCGTCTCCAGGGGTATCTTGTCTAGTTATTCTTTTAGTACCGTTCAGTTACTGCTCAGCCCATTTCCACTGAGTCTAAGTACACACTGCCCGATGCAAGAATTGAACTCAAAATTATTATGTCACCAAATTCACAGACCAACGCTTCAATCCACTAAGCTATTGCCTCGTGGGAAAGTTCCTTTACGTTACCTGACATACACCTGATGAAGGCCAGAGGAAACAAAGACCGAAAGGTCGTTTTAGCAGCAAAAAAAAGAGGAGGACAGTAATACGCATTTAAATGATATATTTGACTTCTTCGAAGATTATGAACATATGAATACAGGTCCCTGTACGATCACCGAAGTTAAACAACGTCGAGCTTTGTCAGTATCTACATGGGTAACCGCTTGAGAATTACCAGTTACTGTAATTTTGGATGTACAGATGGTGTAATAGTTAATTGCCCGGAATTATTAATCAGAGAGCCGTGTTCCAATTTCAGGTGGCTTCGTTAAATTCACATGCACCAATACTCTTGGCAATTATCCCCCCTTTTTCCCTTACCTATGGGTTAATTAGTAAGACTTGTATCAAGAAATCATTATTTTCTGAAAAAAAATTCTTACACTCTAAAAATATTTTCTGGTTTCAAATAACCTGAAAAGAGTTGATAAGCCGTGGAAAACGAATCAATCGATGACTGTTTCGATAAAAGAAAACTTTTCTTCATCCTCCTCAGGAATTTTATTGGATACATTCACTATTCCAATAGCCCAATTTGAAATAATCTGAATTAATGCGAAAAAGAATTTGCCTAAGGCTTCATTGGGAAATGATATTAGATATCCAGTGCGGATGTATATAGATAATCTTTAAAATGTTTACAATAAAACGACATAGAACGAAAGCAAATACACGACTGGCTTAAAACTTGCGAAATTTATTCCATAAAATAAAAATAAGTCTGATTGTGGAAAACGCGCGCCTTTTATTAAAAATAGCGTCCGAATGTAAATGTTTACTTTTCTAGAACAAATAAATGTCCTACTTATTGACCGATTGGAGAAGAGCGCTTCCCTTTTGGGCTATGACACAACGTGAAAAAGAAGAGAGTTCCTATTGCTGATGAGTATATCCACTATAGTCAATCGTCTGTATGTGCTGCTGCTGTTATCATAAACTCAGTACAGTTGTATTAGGTTGGTGCAAAAATAATGACGTAATAATGTCGTTTTTTGACGTACTTTTCTACGTCAAAAGACATACTTACGTCATTATTTTTGCACCAACCTAATACATTTCCCATTCTTTTTTGCTATTCTCTTGCATGTTCCTTTTGCTAAAACACTGCTTGCTTATAAATTCTACACCAATTAAGTTTAAATGATATTGTCAAATTTGAAATCTTCACGTTTTCTTTCTGAAGAATAATTGATCATGGTTAAATGTAATTGGCCGAAATACCAAACAAACAGAATTGACAAAGTTTGTAATAAATAATATCAAGAGAAAGAAAAGCACAGTGCAAAAACAATATTGAGCCACCAATATATCAAAGGCAAAATAGTAACCATAAGGCAAAGTAACAGTAACAAGGTAAAAAGTTCACAAACTAGAAATGGTGTTAACACACAAAAAGAGATACGGACAATCAATCGTTCTGGACACGAAACCCCCGAACTGAGTCAGATGAAACTGAGAAGGTCCTATTTAATTGGCTTGGAAGAAATTCCAGTATGTATCTGTGTGGTTTTTGCCTATAAATTTGAAGAGGGGATATTTTTTCAACCATTCTTTCAACTGGAACCAGCATATAACAAGGGCTAATTGTAATGTGAGGTACATATAGGCTTAAAATAGAGTGGATTGAAAACATTGAAAGCTGTAAAGAGAATGAAGCAATCGAGAGTAATACTTCTCGTAACAGCCAGAACAGCCTTATTAAGTGCATACATATGCGATATCTCAATAAAGATGAATGCCACTATAAAACGGTAGACGAACAGCAAGATGTAAGGTGTAATAAGATTTTGCATGCCAAAGGCAAAAATCAACATATGCAAGACAAAAGCAGGCAAAGCAACAATATAATGGGATAAAAAGCTCACAAATTAAGAATTATGTCTATAGGTTTTGGGGGTGGGGGATTTCTAGCGGTCATTTCTATTATAGATTGGCATCAGCAACCTATTTTATATCTATTGGAGTCAGAGCAATATAAATCATTTCACCCCCAAACAAGATGATAAAGCTGTAGTGGACCATTGCGGTGAAGATTTAAAAAACACACGTGGGTTAAAATTTCCTGCTAGCCGGCCCAGCTACATGAGAATGTCGGACTTTAATTAACAACGTTACAAGCACAGGGACAGTTACATTGAGTTTGTGTGGTGTGCGTGTATTGTGATGAGTGTTCGCACGTACGTGTATTGTTCTTAGCGTGTTCCCAGAATTTGGGAAACGCTGTATCTGTGAGAGCTCACACATGCGAGGTGGTATATGGCCCAAGGCCTAAGGAAAAAAGAGATCGAGGCAAAGAGTCACCCTGTATTTATAGCCAGGTGAGAGAGACCCCTGGTGAAGGATTAAGGAACTGAGGAGGAGCTAACTCCGACAAAGCTACTAAAGAGTTAAAGAATTTGTTAAAAATCATTATTAAGGCGAGAGGACAATAAAAGACAAGGAATTAATAAGACAAGATAACGCGCCGATTGTCGTTGCATTTAAAGTTTTGAAAATCTAAGTTGACAGGGAAGCAAGAAGCCAGAGAAGAATTCTACAAGCGAGAACCAGGAGAGAAGAAATTGCCAGCATAGAACTTATGGTTGCATCTAACCATGTCAACTGTAAATTGATGAAATCTAGGAACCAATCTACAACTGCGCTTAAATTCGTGAAGTCGAGAGACCAAAGGGGAAAATTCATCAGAACAATTGCTTTGAAAATATTTCTAGAAAAGGTTCAGAGAAGCCATATTAAGGCGATGGGAAAGTGACTGAAACCGAGATGCCAGGCCCGGACCACCATCATTGCAGATTCTTCTTTTATTCTTCCTATATATCTTACTTAACGTTCAGTGCCTCTTCTTTTAAGTATTTGGCAGAAAGCATCGAAACTATGCACATGGTAATTTAATATTATTAATTTTGGTTGATATTCATCAATTAAAATGTTTATTTATAATATCAAAATAAATCATGACATAAAATATTAATTTACTTCTGTACTGCCCCACAAATATTTCAATTGCAATGCCATACTTTATTTTGTCTATACACTCAAATGCCCCATGCTTCTCCGCTCCCATTTAATTGAAAAAACTTTTTGTCTTTGATCTATTTGACGACCAACTCCTAAGATTATACCAATGCTAGATTTAAACTTGGTGAATCCCTTAGCTATGAAAGTTTTGGCTTCTCGTGTAAAAACAATATAAAACTTTCCAACTGCAAAAGAAAAAAATGTTCTCAAATAAGGACCCTTCGGCTTGTCAGGCTCGAAGCTACAGCTTGTTTAACATGTACCTAAATCTGGCAATGGATTAAACCAAACTAAAAATATAAATTGTCTTATACTCAAAGAAAGCAATCGATTTGAATACTATTATAATTTGTTCTTGGAATTGAGAAAAAATACCCCCAAAAAATATATAAACTGTATAAAAACAAATGACATGAATTTAAAGTCCGTTGACATTATGCGCCTCGTTTTGACTTCTGACTAGTTTTAATTCTGTTACACTACACATGCGCATATATATATATATATATAGATATCCTTCCTGGCGTCTCATTAAAACAGTGAAATGAAACGAAGCAGCAGCCGACAACTTTCATGTTTGAATAAGCCATCAGCTCACATTGACATGACGTCAGACAGCTTATATTCCAGCACAAAAAATAATATGTAATTCGTTTCTACTTCTGGCAACATCCTTTTCATTCTAAAAATATTATTTTTCTTTAAATAGTTGGCTTTATGACAATCATTATTAGTTGGAGATCGTATGACTACCAATGTGTCTGTTGTTATTTTTCATTATCTGTTGTATCTATATGAAATTATTCGTTCATGTAGTCATTTATTTATTTATTAAGCATATGTATTCTCCTATGGAGAGTTAAAAAATAAAAGTGAGCGAGAAGGAATTTAAAAAAGTCTTACAAAATTTTCGAAATTCGGTATTTCTTGCGAAAAGTTTGATTGTATACGGCTGGGAATTTTTAGTAGTGTTAACTTAAACTCTTGTATATTTTTTATATTTCGGAACATGAAAAAAAAAATTAAAACTTCTGATAAGATTTAAAAAAACGTTTTTTAATTTTAATATTTATAAAGCAAACATTCAGATATTTGAACAGTTTTTCTAAAAAGCTATTTACTCTATTGTCACGTTAGAAAACTTAATTAAATTCAGCTATAATTTGTGCATACGGTAAAGTGTAAGAAATATGTCATGTGACAGTCTTGCTAGAGGTGCGATATATATATATATATATATATATATATATATATATATATATATATATATATATATAAGGCAGGATGTGTGTGTATAACGAATGCACGGCCGAAATTTTCGACGGATTTGCACCAAAATTTACATGCACATGCTCCAAGATAGCGGGAAGGCCAAGACCGACTTTGCATTTTCCAACTCCCATCGATAGTGGAAATAATCAATTTTTTCATGCTTCTACGGCAGTTTTCATGTAGTTTGCGTCCATTTTGAACTGGCCAGAGTGAGAGCCTATAGATGGCTGCCACGAATAGGCAGGAAGATTCTATTGGCCAGCGTGAAAGCCAACAGCTGACTGACACGAATGTTAACTAGCATGCAAGCATGCAAAAAAAATCGATAGCTGCATTCGTCACAAGTGGGAAAAATTTAAATCTGCATGGCACTTTACTCCAATTTTCTCATTCGCTTGCTTAAACTCAACGTTGATTCTGATTCCGTAGAACTGGGTTGGGTGTGAAAAAGTAATTGTTTTCATTCGGTTTTTCCAGTTACGAGTCCTTTTTTAAAGCTGATCGTTTTGTGTTCATTTTGTTTAGTTCTTTTTTCGTAACAGATTTAATGTTTAGTATAGAGCTTAGAAAAATTCGCAGTGTGAGATAGGCAAGAAGTAAGGCATGTAGCAACATCAGCACGGCAAAGAGCACTCCTTTAAAGGCAAGGAAGGGCAAAAATATTTTAAGTCAAGTGATAGCGACTGCTGTATGAGTCGTACGATTTTTGAATCAAGCACGGGCAACGCCGGACCATGCTACTAGTATATGTATAATGTACCTTACCATTTGGTACTAATTCATCAGTGCGACATCATGTCTAATCCGAACCTTAAATTTTTTTCTTGCCTTTTATGTCGAGGTCGCACCACTGACACAATGTATGACTAAGTCAACTCCCAGTAAGATGACATTTCACTTTTCTTTTCTATGTCGTCAAACATACATTCGGTTCTCTTCATGAACAATGGTTCACATTTAGTGTCTGTAAATACATAAATAACATTTTCTCCCCAAAATATATAAATATCCTTGTCTGTTTTCATCCATGAACAGTTTTACCATATTGCGGGTATAGGTATGCTATACTGGGATGGTAAGATCAATTTATTTCCACAAACCATTTAAATATCGTATTTTTGGCAAACATGGATCTTCGTGCCCGCAAAAAAAAAAAAAAAAGTGTCTTTTGACACTTCTTTTTTTTTTTCCACTGACACCGCTTTTATTTTAACTGCTTTCACCCCTCGGCAATGTTTATTTTTTAAAACGCGATGATTAGAATTGTACAAAAAACTAAACATATGATGAACGTGAATTTGGCTGGCCAGCCCTCTAGCGGAGCTCCTCAGTGGACAAAAGCTCGAAACAGCACATTCCCTCGATGTTGCTGAGGGTACGGGACTCGAAACAATGAATGCGCGACGCGAACGTCTTGCTGCGAGGCCACATCTCGGAACCGTATAATAGCACAGATGACGGCGGCGTTGTAGACTCGTAACATGGTGGGTCGGTAAATGTCACAACGCCGCTATAGTGGTCCGTTGATCTGCGAGAAGAGGACGCCGGTGTTGGAAATGTCTAGGTAGACGAATGAAGCGACAGGGTTATTGCCAATGATGATGGGCGGTGGATCGAGGCCGTCTCCTACGTGCATCAGTTTGCTCTTCGACCAGTTGACGAGCAGCTTAATCCTGGTCACCTCTTCGTTGAACACGCGAAGTGCCCCTTCCAGCTAAACCAGACGCGACACTGTTCTTCTGCTCGCGGGCTGAGCTTTCATCGGAGTAGAAAATCAAATATTCGATGATAAGTGAATTGATTTTAAAATTGAAGAGGAATTCAAGGAGTTGTTTCACCTTTTGATTGCTGTTTTGCTTCGGTCTCGTTCCAAATTAACCAAAGTAACAAGGGAGTAGATAGGTTCGCCTATCGCCCGTTTCACACTCCTCTCCGGTGGTTTGAGCAGGAGTAGAAGTTCCCTGCTTAGGATTGCGTTTCATGTTCTTCCTAAAGTCTACTTTAACTCTGTACTTCTAACGTCTCCGCCTGATCTCTGAAATTTTATTTACTATTTATTTTTCCTCAGTATGAGTAGACAGGTTGGCCAATCGTCCGGTTCACACTCCTCTCCGGCATATAGAACAGGAGTAAAGGTTTATTCATTGTTTCCTGTTTAGGATTGCTAATGTCTTTACATTCACTTTCACTTTTCCCTTGCGTCTTTGTGGCATTAACGCCTTGCTTGGTGTGAATTGTATATAACACACACACACACACACACACACACACACACACACACACACATATATATATATATATATATATATATATATATATATGAATTAAATAAATATAGATACAAGAAACCATTTTGATATATATCGGCGTCTCCAATTAATATAACGTTGCGTCAACGAGACCCAAAATTTTTGAAAATACTAACCATCGTAACGAAGAGATCATCACCATTATAAGTACCTGAAGATTGTATTGAACATAAAACTCAGAGCCGTACTTTCGATGTAATATGTATTTTTATTCATATATATATATATATATATATATATATATATATATTTAGGCAGCAATTTTTCATTGACGCCTGTTTCATTAAATTATATAGACAAGTTATTTAATGAAACATGCATCAATATATATCTGTATATACATGTGTATCGACTATTTTTTCTCCCTCAGCTTATCAAAGTTTGATATAAAAACATGTATATCAGTATCCCGTTGCATCTTAGTGTCGATATTGCCTTGCTTGCGTTGAATCGATAAAAAAAAAAGGCCTACATTTCTTAGTGTTTGGAATATGATAGAAAAACAGAAGTTTTAAAACATTTGGACTTTAAAAATATAATGAAAACAAGACATTTCATTGAAATAGCAAATCAAATGTTCATTAATGTTAAAGAAACTGACTTTGCAATAGTGTGGGATTTCAGGAAGATGAAAACAGCAGAAGCGAATGTCTGGTGAACACCAGAAAGATGGAAGAATTGGTAATTCAAATGACCACTACAGTATCGAACTGTTTCGTTGAGGTACCGTTGAACATATTTCTAACAACCGTAAACTTGTAAGAAGCACAAGTTTTGATTAACTTCGTTTCCAGGAACTCAGAGAAGGCCGGTTGCCGCCCAAACCGCTTAAAAACTATATACGATCATCGTGGCTTGGGAAAGTAGTAACAAAGCAATGATTTACAGCTTTCCATCCTAAATTTTCGACAGCCTTTCGAAAACTCTCAATGAAGGAGAGTGACTCATTGCGTCTTCTCGTGCTAACGTGTTTCGCTGACATGAAGTGGAAAGATTATATTGAATCAGTTGCCAGGTCTACTGCTAGGAAAGCTGGTTCACTGCGTTGTGCTAGACAATTTTTCTCGTCAAAATCTATCTTACACATTTATAAGTCAACCATTCGTCCATGCATTGAATACTGCCGTCACAACTAGTCTGGCGTTTCTGCTATATTTTTAGCGATTCTTGATAAAATCTGTATAGTTACCCCATTTACTTTCCTAAAAAAACCGCCGCTAGGGGACCGACTCTAAACCTATAAATAGGAAGTAACATTCTCTGTCATC